TGCGGCGAGGCCTACTGGTGTTGCTGTGAATCAAGAGTTGTAACAACTCTTCTCAAACTCATACAAGAAAGTCAAGTGAGAACTTACTTTTACTCAGCTGGTAATATTGTGTGTGTTTTGATCCCCTCCTGTTTTTCCGTCCAATCCTCCTTTTTACGCTTGTTTGTCCTTCAGTCTGTCCTGAGCTGAACTCACTGTGTCAGACTCCTCCCTATTTCAATCTGTCTCTGTGCCAAGAAGCAGTTTATATTTGGGCAAGTGCAAAAGGCGGGCTGATGTGTGACTAAGAGAGGGAGGAGGTGTTTTGCTGCTGTGGAGGACGTCAAACCTGCATTAACAGGATAAAGAAAGGACAGAGGGCTGATAGAACCTTGTTAATGGCAACTGTTTGGCATAGTCAGTGAGTCTGAAGTCACTTTTGGTTTCAGTTATGGAGCAGCAGTGACAGACAGGCAGTCCTCTGTTGTGGGGCACAGATGCAAAATTATATATTTTTTGTTTTGCATTTTTGAATTTATTTGTCAACCATAACACTGATATATGGTGGCCCTCTGGGTCAAAACATTACACTGATAAGATTGGCAAATATGAGGCTTTCACTGATGTTTATGTTGGCTGTTTAGCTGGGGCGGCTATGGCTGAGGGGTAAAGAGGTAAAGCGGTTGCCGTCCAACCCGTTCAATCCCAGTCTTCCCCATCTGCATGCCAAAGTGTCCTTGGGCAAGATAAGTGCTGCCCATAGATGCACTGTATGAATGGATGAAAAAAACTATTAAAAAAAAAACTACTAAACTAACTACTAGAGCTTGAGTTTTCATCAAGATTAGAAAAGCACTATATAAATACAGACCATTATGTTTATTTTACAGAAATAAAAATATAGAAAAGATTTGTATTTTAAAGAAATCGTTTAATTTTCTAAATTCTATATCAACTAGGGCTGCTAAGCAGCATTGTGTGGACCTGAGCACTTGCAAACTCGGGACCTGATGTGACCGCCGGGGAGGGCAGATGGGGACCGGGTGCAATGGCTCCGCGTTGCATGCATTTTGTGCACTAAGGGAAGGATAAACTCTTCACTTTCTGCGTCCGTCACGCAGCATCGAACCACACCCACTAATCTTGGGAAAATTCAATGTAAATCGAATTAATGTAGTAATAATAAGTAGTTGTAAATCGAGGCCTACTTCCTGTTGACAGAAGTTGCCGCTATCACAATCACTACAAACAGACTAAAAGATCTGTTCAGGTCAGGGCTCTGATTAAGCAATTTGGGATTATTTTTAACTCCACTGTTAAAAATAACTTCCTGTTTCATGGCGAATCAGTAGGTGGCTGTTACGGCGCTCTGCGTTTTCCTTGGTACCGATTAAGAGTTGGGGGAGTCTCTCTTATTTACCCACAGGTGAAGGAATCCTTCACCTCGTCTTTATGGGTGATGGCCTGATTGTGTTTTGGTCGTTAATGAAAGACTGGTGGAAGGTTCAGTTCGTTAGGCTGTTTTTCTTTGTTTTGAAACTGTCAGTCAGAGGTGTAGGGACTAAGATTAGGAAGAGGGCTTGTTTTTGGTTCATTTTATGAGTTGGTGTCACCCTCCACCTGTTACCATCTGTGCCTGAATTTTGTTCATTGTTGTTTATGCAAATATTTAGCACTTTAACAATAAAAGGCTGTGTTGCCAGACACCATGGGCACTGTGTTGCTTCCCTTTCCTCCTGGACAAAATCAGAGTTGTAACAGTGGCGCTATGACACTGAGTTAATATTGACATATGGAGCTGTTTAGGCCTAGACTTTCGGGAGGCAGACATCTCGGCATTTAAAGTTAAACTTAAAACGTTCCTTTTTGATAAATCCTATAGTGAGGGCTGGATCAGATGAGTCCTGAACCATCCCTTAGTTATGCTGCTATAGGTGTAGACTGCTGGGGGAACTCCCATCATTCACTGAGCACTTCTCCCCTTCTCTCTGTCTCTCTGCCCCCCCACACTCATTTATTTATTTTAATACATGTCAATGACTATGTCACTTTGTACTCCCATAGTCCCTCTCTCTCTTTTTCTCTCTCATTTCAGATATCTCTGACCCAGGAACATCAGGAAAAAAAGTACTATCATTATTACGATTATTAATTACAATATTTCAGTATTTAATTATTATATGAATTGTTCCTTTTATCGATAATAATTAATAAACCTTTACGCTGTTATTGTTTACCTTTTAACTAGTCAGATCTGATACCTGATGGTGCTCAAGTGTTCCAGGTCTCTCTCGTCTCTCTCTCTCCCCTCCTCCCTCTCCCCACTATCATTCTCTCCCCTCTTTTCCAACCATCTCTCCTCTCCTCCCCTTTTTCTTTGCTCACTCCAACCGGTTGAGGCAGATGACCGCCCACATTGAGCCTATTTCTGCCAGAGGTTTCACCCTGTTAATGAGGGAGTTTTTCCTCCACAGTCGCCAAAGTGCTTGCTCATTGTGGGAACTGTTGGGTTTCTCTATATTTAATACAATTTTAAGGTCTTGACCTTCTATGTAAAGTGCCTTGAGATAATGTATATTATGATTTGGCACTATACAAATAAAATTGAATTGAATTAAATAGAATAGAATTGAATAGGTTTTAATTATGGTGCCGACAATGGACAATGCACAGTATTGGCATATGGAGCTGTTCAGGCCTGGACTCTGATCATGTGACAGCATTTTGAGCTGATTGGATAATGCACAGAGGAGTTATAATAAATCCCTTTTTTTTGGCGAGTCATCAAACTTTGACACCACGCCACGGTCACACCGTGTGACGTACACTAAAAATCTAGGTAGTTTAAATCTCCATGTTGTTGAGATGAGACTCCCAGAAAATCATAAACGTTCAGTGGTGAATAGAAAGCATTACTGCCATCTACTGTCTTCATCTCAAAGTATAGGTCCTAAGATCTTCACCTTTGATCATGCCATTGATCCTATTACTTTATATTAAGACAGACGTTTACTAAAGCACTTGCATACGAGAGTCTGAAGAATCAAATATACTTTCTTATTATTGTTATTGTGAAAATTCAACCCAAATGTGCCACCAAGACATTATGCTGCCTCATGGCACCAACACTATGCGGTTCATTGACCTACAGCTGCTTGAGCTGGCTGGAGAATGTCACTCTACAATCGAGAGTGGTATGGTCAGCACCAATGACTTCTTGAAGCTGGACAAGAAACTGGAGAAGCTTCGCTATGAGGTTGGAATAATTATCCTAGTTGTTTTTTAACTACACTGTCATTTGTCTTTAATATTACTATACTACTGAACAATACAGATTTAGAAGTAGTTTGTGACTACGGGTGGTTTGTGGACTTAAATTTCATGTATGAAAACCTTTCGAATTCCATTGTATAAAATGAAAAAAATGCAGGGTTATCAGGATAAAACTGCTTTCTCTTTCTTCACCCACACCTAAAATTCTCCACCCTCAAATATTTTACTGCATGTTGTTCATTCCTTTATATCAGTACGTTTATTAATCTTCATGTATCTGATTTCAGACCCGCTCAGCCTACAGTCCTCCTGTCAGAAAACCACAGATGAGTGACTTTGTCAAAATCAAAAATCTATCCAGCGGAGACTTTGGGTACGTAAAATTCTTCTTGTGTTTAAACAGACTCTTCAGATAAAGCCCTGAGTCAGGTTAAAGTTGGATAGAAGATGAAATGAGGATTTGATGTTTTAGAATAATCAATTGCTTTAAATTCCAATGTTTTGTCCAGGTCTGTGGAGCTTGTGAGGCACAAAAAAACGAGTAAGTGTTTTGCCATGAAATTGGTAAAGCAGAAGAGATTGAACATACCTATAGATGTCCAGGAGGTGTTTTTGGAACGCGACATTCTCACCTTTGCTGAAAACCCCTTCATTACCTCATTGGCCTGTTCATTTGAGACGGACATGTACCTTGTACTTGTAATGGATTATGTTGAAGGTAATGACATTTCTTTGAGCTATGTGACACACACAAACACCTGCCACTATCTGTCTGTATATTCTCATGACTCCATCTGTCCTTGTAGGTCTGGATTGTGATTTTCAGCTTGATGTCTTGGAACGTTTTCCAGTGGACATGGCCCGATTGTATGTGGCAGAAACAGTCATGGCTGTCAAGTACCTCCACAGGCTTGGTATTGTGCACAGAGACCTCACACCGAAAAAGTAAGTCCTCAACTTGTGCCATTAAGTCAGCATTTAGCACATTTGATATTTTTCAGACTCTGTTTTCTAACATCTTGTTAAGCCCCACTCTTTTTGGTTACTGTTACTATGCCTGCCATAATTTCTATTCTTGCATGATACAGTTTATATTGTAAACAGTGGAAGATGCACCATTTAAAATATTCCTAGGTGTTAAAAGTAGACGGAAACAGCCCCTCAAGTTTAGCTGGCAACATTGGTTTAAACCAGCAGAAGTGTCAAGTGTCTTTGGTTGATTTAATCCACGGTGCAGCTTTGATCATTTTTAAACCAGCTATCAGATATCATCAGCAACCACATCTAAGAAACTTTACTTCTTTTGATATACACACATACACACATATATTTAGATATTTGGTTTTCACTCAATTTTAGCTTCATGCTTCAGGTCACCTCAATCAAACATTTTTCTGGTTGCTTCCTTAATAGCATGTTGATCAGCGCCACAGGTCACATCAAATTGACAGACTTTGGAATTTCCAAGATTGGTCCAGTGAACATAACAACAGAGCGTCATCAAGAATGCCTAATTGATATTGTCAGAGAGTTCACTGATGAAGAGGTCAGTCTCTTTTCTACTCCATTTATTTAAAATTGTGTTTATCCACTGTTGTGTACAATACATATGTGCTGTAGTGCTTTTCAGAAATTTTCTCTTCTGTTATGATCCATAATTTTCTCCTACAGATGCGTGGAACTCCAGTGTACATGGCCCCAGAAGTGATTCTCGAAAAGGATTATGGGAAGCCTATAGACTGGTGGGCTCTAGGCATCATTCTGTACGAGTTCCTGTTTGGCTATACACCTTTCCCTGCAAGGTGCATGGAGGGAGTGTTTTTGCGAGTGACAACTGGTAAGAATAAGTAGTTAAATTTATGATCTTTTCATATTCACATAACCTTCTGTATCTTAAAGCCAATTTAAAAAAATCCCCATGTTTAACTTGTCCATAAAACTCTTGACACACAACTTTCAGTTATTGTGTTGATTAGAATAGCGATATTACAGTTTGAATGATTCTTTTTAAGGAAATCTACTTGGGGCTTTTGCCAGTCCCTGTAGTTGCATAGATAATTTAACTACTTGATAACACGACTAATATTTGTATCATATTTAGAAGAGCTCACTTGGCCAGAGAGAGAGCTTGATGTGACAGATGATGCCAAGGACCTCATATTCTCTCTCATGAAGAAGAACCCTATGGAGCGCCTGGGCACAAGTAAGTGGCAGCTTTCACAAATGATGGACATGTGGATGAATACCTCATGGTTTGGGATGCACTACATCTCACAGGAATGAGACTAGTCTGATGGACCTCAATGAAAGGTCATGAACAGATAGACGAGGTCTGGAGAACTGTAAAAAGCTGCAGAGGCCTAAGAATGTGTTCTTAGAACAAAGGAAGATATCAGTGGGGCTAAGGAGGTGACATCGTAAGCAAGCCCCAACATGTGTTGATATACAAACAATGTCTGATTGTTGTTCTTCTTATCCAGGAGGAGCACATGAAGTGAAGAACCATCCATTTTTTCAGAACCTCGACATGAACAACCTCCTGAGTGAGGTTCCTCTGTACATCCCCCAGTTGGAGTATGGGGATACCTGCTCTGAGAATGTAGGCGAATCAGAGGTTGATGTTCCTTCTGTCGATGAAGATGAAGAGAAGGAGGACAATATATCTTTCAGCTATTTGGCCTTCCGCTTCCGAAAGGTAAAGTCTTTATCCACTGCTGTTTGAGAGTAGTTGAATCTATCTCTTACTATTAGATACTCACTGATTCAAAATACCTGAGAGGAATCAACTTATTACAGAATTTGTGTGAATCACCAGTGTATCATTATTCAGGACCACAGGCATAAAGAGCATGCAAATTGAGATTGTTGTGTGGTTTTTCATTCAAGTTACAATTAATCCTTAACATGATGTTAAACTGTGTTTCTTTGAAACTTTTAGGCGTATGACAGCCCTACACCAATCAAGCAGAGCCATTCCTCTCAGCTAAACCTCAATGAAGGAAATATCCAGGAGTCTGCTGAAAGCCTGAATGAAGAGGACGACACAACCTCCAGTGGAGAAAATTTCGAGGATGCAGTTGAATACCTTGATGATGAGGACGACATGACCTTTGATGAAGGAAAAGTAGAGAAGGCTGCTGAAATCCTTCATGAAGAGGAAGTCATGCCCCACAATGAAGGAAATGTCAAGGAGGCCACTGAAATCCTGCCTCATGGCACCTACTCCATGTGGTGCATTTATCTACAGCTGCTTGAGCTGGCTGGAGAATGTCACTCTACAATCCAGAGTGGTATGGTCAGCACCAATGACTTCTTGAAGCTGGAGGAGAAACTGGAGAAGCTTCACTATGAGGTTGGAATAATTATCCTAGTTGTTTTTTAACCACATTGTCATTTCTCTTGTCATTACTATACTACTGAACAATACAGATTTAGAAGTAGTTTGTGACTACGGGTGGTTCGTGGACTTAAATTTCATGTATGAAAACTCTTGAATTCGATTGTATAAAATTAATTTTTTTTTAGGGCTGTCAGGATAAAACTACTTTCTCTTTCTTCATCCACACCTAAAATTGTGTGATGGTAAAAATTTTAAAGTAGCAAAGACGATGAAATAAGGATTTGGTGTTGTAGAATAATCAACTGCTCTCCATTCCAATGTTTTGTCCAGATCTGTGGAGCTTATGAGGCACAAAAGACAGGTCAGAGAGTAGTTGAATCTAAGACATGACCTCCATTAAAGGACATGATGAGACAATGAGGAGACAGGGGATGGGCAAAGGAGACAAGAAGCGGAATAAGAAAAGTCAGGAAGAACCAGAAAGTTTCACCATACCTCCATCACTCACTTTCTCCTATGGCTGTAATGATAGACATACTTCTTATATGCACTTCAATTAAACCTAGCATAAACTGTTAAAATGTCAAAAAAAAGACCAAAAACAATAAAACAATTAAAGACATTGAGAACACTGGAGATCCTCATGTGATATGAGACTTGCCTACATGTTGACTTTTTACAACTTCGCTGCGGTCTATTCTACATTATCACATGACTCACTGCTCATGAATCTGACTGCACCCATCTTCAAATTCAGCTATAATTTGGCACAGTTGTGTCGCTTTAATGTCACAACATACACACAGACACACCTTCCTCCACACTTTGTTTAACCGTGAGCCGGTCAAAGATAAAGGCGGTTGTGAAATGTGAATCAAAAGCATCAAAATAGTCCTTCTCCAGCTGATTAGTCTCGATATCAACCAAATACTAATGTATTATTACTTATGTTTTCCCTGTTACCCCTATAAAAAAAAACCTTTGCTGAAGCAACTGTCCTTTTTTCATGAAGGCTAAAGTAGATCCTTAGCACCTGAGTAACATTTTGCAACAAGAGCAAAAAAAAAGAAACTATTCCAATACCAACAGTCAGTGTGGATCTCGTCTGCTGCAGAGTAAACGTGTCAAAGACAGTCTTTGTCTCATTATTAAGTCAAATAATGGACTTGAATATATTTTGTTAATACCCAATGATAGAAAAGAAAGCACTTACTTAACAAAACAGTGTCTAAATAAGAAAATTGAGGGTTGAGAGTTAATTCTGAATTTGAAAACAAACAATAGTCAAAGGAAAGACAGTGAGACAAAAAGGAAATTCAAATGTATGTAAATTTAATTTAACTTGTAAAATGAGGCTTATTTCCTGTGGGCAGTAGGTGGCGTTATCACTACATACAGACTAATAGATCTGTTCAGGTCGGGGCTCTGATGAAGCCAGCCTGAAGTAAAAAAATCGTGGCAAATCAGTTGGTGGTGCTATGACCCTCTTTAGTTTTGACTAAGGGAGCTGTTTAGGCTGAGACTTTGATCTTAGGTTTTAATTATGGTGCTGATTGGACAATGCAAGGTTGAGTTAAAAAAAAAATCTTCCTTTTCACAGTGAATCAGTATAGGTGGCGCTATGACCCTGAGTTAATATTTACATGTGGAGCTGTTCAGGCCTGGACTCTGATCATGTGACAGAATTTGGGGGCTGATTGGATAATGCACAGAGGAGTTATAATAAATCCCTTTTTTTTGGGTCATCAAACTTTGACACCACGCTACGGTCACACCGTGTGACGTACACTAAAAATCTAGGTAGTTTTAATCTCCATGTTGTTGAGATGACACTCCCAGAAAATCGTATACGTTTATTGGTGGGGTTGAAAGCATTACTGCCATCTACTGTCTTCTTCATATCAAAGCATAGGTCCTAAGATCTTCACCTTTGACCATGATGCCCTTGATCTTATTACTTTATATTAAGACAGATGTTTACTAAGCACTTACATACGAGAGTTTGAAGAATCAAATACACTTTCTTATTATTGTTATTGTGAAAACTCAACCCAAATGGGCCACCAAGACCTTATGCTGCCTGATGGCACCAACACCATTTGGTTCATACAGCAGCTTGAGCTGGCTGAAGAAATATTCGAGGATGCAGTTGAATACATTGATGATGACTACGACAGCTCCAGTGAAGAAATATTAGAGGATGCAGTTGAATACCTTGATGATGAGGATGACACCTCCCGTGAAGAAAAATTCGAGAATGCAGTTGAATACCTTGATGATGAGGACGACATGACCTCCAGGGAAGAAGTATTCGAGGATGCAGTTGAATACCTTGATGTTGAGGACGGCATGACCTCCAGAGAAGAAAACGTCGAGTATGCAGTTGAATACCTCAGTGATGAGGATGACATGACCTCCAGAGAAGAAAACTTCGAGTATGCAGTTGAATACCTCAGTGATGAGGACGACACGACCTCCAGAGAAGAAAACTTCGAGTATGCAGTTGTATACCTCAGTGATGAGGATGACATGACCTCCAGTGAAGAAAACTTCCAGGATGCAGTTGAATTGCTTGATGATGAGGACGACATGACCTCCAGTTAAGAAAAATTTGAGGATGCAGTTGAATACCTCAATGATGAGGACGACATGACCTCCAATGAAGAAAACTTCGAGGATGCAGTTGAATACCTTGATGATGAGGACGACATGACCTCCAGTGAAAAAAATTTGCAGTTGAATACCTTGATGAGGAGAATTTCATGTTTATTGTATTTTGTCCTCTTTCATAAAGAGTTTTCAGTTCAAGTTTAGACTGTGTTTTTGTTATGTTTTTGAATTCATGTTTTAAGTTTGCTCCCTGTCCCCTCTGTGTCCCTCGCTTGTGTCCCACTCTGCTCCTTTCTGTGTCCCACTCTGTGTATCACTCTCTGCGTCCCTCTCTGCGTCCCTCTCCTGTGTACCCCTCCTTTTCCCTCGCTGTGTTCATCTCTGTGTTCCACCCTGTGTGCTTCGCTGTTCATCCCTGTGTTCCTCTCGTATTCCCTTCTGTGTTCCTCTGTGTTCCACCCTATGTTTCTCCTGTGTGCTTCGCTGTTCATCCCTGTCTTTCCCTGTGCTGCTCCCCTGTTTTGCCTGAGAGCATCTTTTGAGTTTTTGAGGATTTCTTTTAGTTACGTTTGCTCTGCCTTAAAAAAAGGGACACCTTTTGTTACATTTGTTACAAATGCTGAGTACTTGCTCCACCACTGTTCGATGACTTAATTTGTTGGTTAATCAGAGTTACAACCTGTCATTACTTGTGAGATAGTATAATTTGTATTTTGAAAACAACTGAACATGCACTTTTATTTGAATACAAACAATCCACCAGATGGGGCAGTGTTGCTGTGAGTAAACACTCTGCTTTGAGGGAACTTGGATTATCAGGATTTACTTCTGCAGATTGAAGGGTTCGGGAGTTTATTATTTCCACTGCTGCAGTGACTGTTTAACCTCAAAGTTAATTTGTATTGTGCATTTAGATTTTGGTTGATTTCAAACAATTATCATAAAAATAAGTTAGATAAATGGTGGCATCTTTGTGTTTGTGTGATCTTCACATTTTTAGAACTGCTGTGTCTTTCCATCCATCCGTCTGTCTGTCTGTTTGTCTGTCGTTCTGTTTGGGCTGATTCAGGCTGCAGTGCAAACAGAAGCAAGGGCCAGAAATGATGTCAGCCAGTCATGCAAGCAGCCAGTCTGGACGTCTGGCACTTGTGTTATTGTGGGCAGATGTGAAACCCCATCTCACTTTGATGGCTCTGCGCAGAGACGTGCACTGGCGGACAGACATGCAGAGGTGCAATGTGCATGTGCAGCAGGTGTGCTGCTGCAGCTGCTGAGGCCCTCCAACCATTTTATCAGATTTTCACATACTGTATGATGTATATGCATTTTTGATTCAATACAGGACAGTGAATCTGGTTGTTTTGAAATAGGGAACACTATGAAGTGAGCTATGAGGGAACAAACTAAGATCCCTGTATTATCCATAGCACCTATCCATTAGGGTTGCTGACATTGAAGTACCCGAGAGCACATAACATGCACACTCCACACAGGATGGCCCCTGTCAAATCAGGGTCTGAACCACAGCTCTCCAAATGTAAGGGCAAATCATTTTCATCTGCCCCTGGTGGTTGGCTGCAGCATAGGTAATAAATCCTGCCTCCCCCATATCAGCAGATGGGACATCAGCCAAACCAAAGAGTCCCTGCCAAAATTTTCTTAAAGATGGTTTCTGTTATCTTCTGTAGTTCTTATCACATTGCTGATTGTTCAAGTATTCATTTTTGTGGCAAATTTGGTTTTAATTTGTCATTTGATTCTATAAAAACATAACAACAAAGCTGAGACTGACCTACGATTGGTCGAGCATGTGTATTGACGGGAGTTCACTAAAGTTGCTCCACGATCACAACTGCACAGTCTATGGCTCCAAAAGTGCAAGATGTCAGCATTAATATCCGGGATATTTCGGATAGTGGTAGGAAGTGGAGATGTGTTGTCCATCTTTATATACAGTGTATGGTTTGAACCCAGAGCCTTCTTGCTCTGAGGCGGCAGTGCTTACCATCACAACGGCATTTCTTTTAACTCTACGCGTCTCCTTATAACTGTAAAATGTAAAGTGATGATGTGCAGCTTCCCTCTATTTTTCATGACTTCCACCCCTCCAGTGTCCACACCTTCCTCCTGAGCTGAGTTTCTCTGTGTTGAACACAGCAGCTCTTCTGTCGCCAGGATGACGGGCGGCCTCATACAAATTGTACTGATTCAACAGGTTTTCCACTTGAACCGGATGAAGAGCAGCACTTCCATCAGTGGGTGAGTTAATACGCACACAGCAGCCGGAGGAAACGTTGTAGACTCAACACAGCAGAGTGCGGACACACCGAGTGATGTGTAAATAAAAAGCAATCACAAATTAAATAGACGTTTATTTTTTAATATTATGGTTTTCTTTTCCTGACTGTTTCTTCTTTGATGCCATTAGGTTTACAGAAAAGAGGGATTTAATTGATTCATAAATTGATAAAAGTAAGACTTTTAAACTGAGTTCATGTGGGGTTTCTCTCCACAACATCCCTTAACACCCACACTACCCTCTCTGTATACATCTGACGCCATGAGAGAGACAACTGTGGACTGTGTGCAATGCAGTAAGTGTGTGTGATGTTGGACCGGAGTGAAAGCAGCCTGTGCCAGTTGCAACAGTCTGTGCCGTCTCCCCCCTTGTAAGACTGTGCGGCTCTCGCTTCTCTGGGCACCTCACCATATTGCTGCGTTCACTTCAGAGGAGCTCACATCTCAGCGCTTTGTTGAATTTATACTGGTTTTGGACAGTGGTGTCATGGCAACCATTCTTCTGGTGCATTGAAATCATTGGGATTACAGTCGCTGTGTTTGTATTTTTTCAAACCCACTTTGCCTTTGAGATCAGAGTGATGGTTTCTTCTCACAACACAATATTTAACTGGAACCATAATAATATATTTTAATCAGAAGTTATTTAGAGAATAATTCATGAGTTTTAATGATCCTCAGGCCAGTTTCTTCTTGTAAAACCTTCCACTTAATGGTAGTCATTGGCTTCTTTTGACAAAAGGCTAATGTTAACTTACTATTTAGAGGTTATTTTAAAAAATGGTAAAAGACACATTTCTTAACTGACTTCCTGAGAGAGTTGATTTCGTGATACCTTCAAGAACAAAATTATTTTTGGCTCCATCATTAATTCATTGTAAGTTAGGTTGAGCCCTCACCACCCTCTGACTTTACTAAATCCAACACTTTCAATAGCAGAAATATGTACAACTAGAATACCTCCACCAAGGCCCAATAGTCCCTTTGTGAAAGCACATTCAAATTCACTAAATCCAGATTTTTATCTGGATCTACTCCAAATTGCACGCACTCATCGATATATGTCCCTTTAACATTAAGATTCATGAACTATAATCTGAGAAATCAATGAAAATGTTGAAAAATGCCAATTTTAAAATAAAAATAATAATCCTGGATCTGCCTTCTGATCCGCACTAAAATGTAATATGTTCTTTCTTGATCCTTACCACATCTCTTCCAGGTTTCATAGTAATCTACTGTCATAAAAGCAAACAAACAGATGAAAACATAACCTCCTTGGCAGATTCATTGGTGATATGTAAAGTGTATGTACAAGAAGTGTATACATTGTTTATCATCTGACGTGTTTTGGCCTTAATATTTGGAAAGCTTGAGACCTCACCTTATAATGATGTGTCTCCCACATTTACCTCTCTCCTTATCGCTGTTGCACTTAATGGGTGTAATAATGTAGCCACTTTGTTATTAATTTTACGATTACACTCGCAAATTTATTTTAGATATTCTGTCATTTAATTTGTGTAACATGACACAACTTCTAAACACTTTTAACCAAATCATTTCATCGTTTGCCTCTTCCTCAGAATTAACAGAAATCACCAATTAAGATGAGCATGGTCTTTTCATCAAAACACAACAGACACACACACACACACACAAACACACACACACACAAATGTTAGATTCCAGCGGTTACACTAACACCTGCACAAAGCTTTGCTCCTGCATGATCGCTCTGTAGTATTTGGGATATGCTACATGGACCTGAAGGCTAAACATTAACCCTCCCAGGAGGTAGCCCACAGTCTCTTACAACAGCGTTAAACCTGCAATAAACACTGATGCTCCAAAAACAAACAAAACAAATGACCAGGAAATTAAAAATTCAATTCAAAGACCAGTATGAAGATTCACTTTATGTGCACAGGTTATGAATGTTTCCAACTTCCTGATGAAAATTACATGATACAAAGCGTGGGAGCCATTCAATTTATATTTACACCTGTGGATCACTAAGGTTATCATAAATGTAATTAAGGAAGCTAAGATGTAGCTACTTTATTAAAGACTGTGTTCCTGTGCACTGCCCAGTCTGTGTTTATTTTCCTATTTGTGGTTTCAAACTCTCTGTGGAACATTTTGGTTTATTTTAAGTGAAAATGGAACATTGGAGTCCATTTCAACAGCAACTGGTGAGCTGTATTCAGCTGTGTATGACATTTAACTGGGTAATTTAGTGTAAGAACAGATGAAAACCAACCTCACTGAGGCGCAAGTGTAGAAAATAGTCCCAAAAAGAAAATTAGGTTGTTGGCACCATTACTCTCAAGTAATATTGTATAAACATAAACTTGACTCCAAATAGTATGGTTCGACGCTTAGACAGTTAATCCAAATATTTTCCAGAAAAGAAAATTATTACTTTTATTCACTGTAAAGATTTATAGGAGCTCACCGGTCCAATCAGTGCCCCTGCTGAATAAACCTCTTTACGCCATAGTGCTCCTCATGTTTGCATCTCAATTGCCTGATTTATAGATGTAATTGTTTGTCCTTGGAGCACATGTCTCATGTCTCATGCCTCATGCAAACATGCAAAATGACCCAAGCAATTTGCACGTGAATGTATTTGAAACACACTCATAAGAGGGTCCGGGCAGTTGGCATGTTAATCATAGAAGCTGACATTGTGGCACAAACTGTAATTACCTCTGCCAAGGAGATTTTGATTTCATCTGAGTCTGTTTGTTAGTTAGCAATACAGATGTTCACGAAACTTGGTAGAAGGATGCAGAATACGTCAGGAAA